GGATACTTTGCTTCTTTATCTTCAGTTCTTCCTGAAGTTTATTAATAAAGTCCTTCCTGTCCAAACAATCTCCAGGGATATGTTTCCTTTTCGTTGTCCTTGTTGTTATCTCTGCCATTTCTGGGCCTCGCAGTGGAAACACAGATACGAAGTCAGCCATATTGGCGACAGATCAGGGGATCAAACTAAAGATGTTCTGCTTGTGTGTGAGGAAGAGCACTTGCAAAAATAATGCTTTACTTCTCCAGCTTAAACCACACAGAGTGCTTCATCATTTTCCTTTCTGTTACGTGATTTTTCCCCTGCAGCTGACTTTGCAGTTAAATTGAACAAAACATACTCCAGTTTTTTGTTTTTTGATTTTTGGTTTTTTTTTGAGGAGCCTCACACTGTTGCCCAGGCTGGAGTGCAGTGCCGCAATCTTGGCTCACTGAACCTTCACCTCCTGGGTTGAAGCAGTTCTTCTGTGTCAGCCTCACGAGTAGCTGGGATTACAGGTGCCCACCACCAGGCCCAGCTAAATTTTTTTGTGGTTTTTAGTAGAGATGATGTTTCACTGTGTTGGCCAGGCTGGTCTTGAACCCCTGATCTCGTGATCTGCCTGCCTCGGCCTCCCAAAGTGCTGGGATTACAGGTATGAGCCACCGCACCCGGCCCATATTCCAGTTCTTAAAGACCTTTAAAGGTTTGCCATTTTCCCCTGAGTCCATGCCAATACTGCACTCTAAATGACTGCATTTTGATTTATAACCAAAAGATTTCTCCTCTCTTTCCCATTAAGAATTTTATTGATAGGCAGGAATTTAAAAATTAATAATTCTTCATGGTTGTCTATAAATAAAGCATGTTCCCTTAGTGCCTGGAGTTTTTACTGTATTTATTTATTTATTTTTACACTTGAATAATTTTACCTCAAGCTTAACCTTTCATGAGATCCAGGCCCAAAGATGTTATATGTAAAAATGTTTATTTAAAAATAGAATGCTTGTTCCCCATTGCCACAAAGAAATAGCACTTGAGCATAAATTTAATTCTCTCAGCAAGGCCATTTTTACTCTGCAGAAAGGGTACACTCGCCAGCAGTTTTGCCACGAGAGTACACTGAACAAAGGAGACAGGGTCATTTATAACTTGATACGTCCACCCTACTGCTGTATCCAGTTTCCATTGGCTGGAATGAGACCTCACATTCTGTATTTGTTCCGATTGGCTAGCAACTTAGAACTTTTCAAGAGGCAAAGGCAGGGGAGAACAAAGGAAGGAGGAAGTTACTTGTGGAATGCTGAGAAAGGTAAAAACACCTCCAAATAAGGAAGAGGAACGGGCTATCACCTAATGCTTGCTTGGACCATTGTAACCATGCCAGGGTAGATATTTAGACTAAACTGTGGGAGCTAAGAACACAAAGTATATTGATTTCTTTATTACGGCTAGCAGATATTTAAGAATGTTAGCACAGGTGTCTGAATACATTTTACTTCCACGAGAAGTCACTATTTGTCCTTAATTAGACAGGGAAGAAAGTGTCTTTGAAGAGGAACCTGTACTTCACTTTTTACACAGAGATACCCCATGATGCAGAAAATACACATACCTGCTTAGAGACCTTGTGTCATTGATTTAGAGTGCAGCATGACATGTGAGAGTTACTCTTTTTATCTTTCTTCTGCCCCACCTCAAAAGATTTTATTTAATCTTGCAAATAGTAAACCTTTGTCTTCTATGACATTTTATTTTTATCATTTATTTATTTATTTAAGACAGGATCTTACTCTGTTGCCCAGCCTGGAATATAGTGGCACAGTCACGGCTCACTGCAGCCTTGACCTCCCAGGCTCAGGTGGTTCTCCCACCTCAGCAACCCAAGTAGCTGGGACTACAGGCACACACCAGCACACCCGACTAATTTTTTGATTTTTGATTATTTGTAGAGACAGGGTCTCCCTATGTTGCCCAGGCTGGTCTCGAACTCCTGAGCTCAAGCAATCCTCTACCTCAAACTCCCAAAGTGCTGGGATTATAGGTGTGAGCCACCACATCCAGCCTATTTCATTTTTTAAATAGCAATAGGGTCTTGCCATGTTGTCCAGGCAAGTCTGAAACTCCTGGCTTCAAGTGATCCTCCCACCTCAACCTCCCAAAGTATTGCGATTACAGACATGAGCCACTGTGCCTGTCCCTACATAGGTATAGGTTTTGTGGAGTTTTTTCGCCATTTTGTGGAGGTGAAGTCTCAATATGTTGCCGAGGCTGTGCAATATTTTAAATATTTCAGGAAAATCTGTTTTCAAACTCCACAGAAACCTAAGAGTATGTTCCTTTCTATGCAGTTTAATATAATTTCCTGCCTTTAGAGACTCAAAAATAGTGGAAGATCAACATCTGTGTCAGAGGTTATTTACTGATGGGTACATTTATGGAAGGCATAAGGGCAACAAGGTACTTCTGTGAATAACTAAAAAGTCAAATAATAATTGTATTGCTTTCATTAGTGTTCTTTTGCCTAATAGATTCACCAGGAAACTGCATTTAAAGACAAGAGAAGGCAAGTCAGATACACCCACTTTGCTATTTGTAACAGACGACAAGACCATTAGAGTACTCACTGGCTCTTTTCCTTCTCCTTTTGCAGGACAGAAAACATGCAAAGCCTAAAATGGCAGCCTACAGGTTATTATATATTTATGCGAATTTTGTAGACTCAGTTTGCATTTTAAAATTACATTTGTCACTTTGGATTACTTTCAAAAACAACTGTTAGCATAAATGAGGAATTTTTTTGAGCTTTAAGCAAATGTTAATAAATGATGATGTTATTCTGTTTCTAAAAGAAAATAGCGTAGGTGGTAATACAGAGGCTCTGCCACATGATTATTTCTGGTCACCAGAATAGGTGACCAGAAAGTCAGAAATACTGATTCTAAGCTTGGAAAGTGCTTGGTGTATTGGTAAATAATGTTGGTTGATATTCGAAGGAAAACTTTAAGACGATCTGCATTTATTCTTTCTTATTTGTGAAAATCTGTTCTCTCAAAGCTTTGGTCGAACACTTGTTTTTTTCCTTATCGAGTTGTAGTTAGTAGTGAGTTCTCTGAGAGGAAGGACCATGTCTTCGTTATCTTCCTTATCCACAACCCTGAATACTATGGCTTGCAGTAAATGCCTGCATGAATTTGCTCTTATAGTTCTCTTTTGCCCCCTTCTCTAATTATATATAAGTTGTGGAATATAAAATGTATTATTTGTCCAGGAAATAAATAACTATTATAGGATACACTAATTACCATTTATCAGAATTGAACTTACTTTGTTAACACAGTTTACTGCGGAGGAAACCACGGGCCAAACCCAGGATTCTGGCACAGGTAGTCTGGCTCCTGAGTGCTCTATGCAGTGAATGCCCACACACCCCCACTATAGAATGGCTTTATGAGCCATTGATTTCCATTGGTTTAATTATGTATATAGAATTTTCCTATCTTTCATCCCCTGAGTTGCTATACCAGGGACACAATTTGTAGTTGAGTTTTGGCACTTTCAACCTTCTGGCATATTTGTTTGACTTTGGCAGAGGCCATCCAGTAGCAGATTTTATGGCCTGCCTTCCTCTAAACTGCACCATGATCAGTATTCTCTAAATTGCACTATAATCAGTATTAGTATATTCAGTTTCTCAGCTAGCTTGGAAATGATATTATATGATAGTTGCAGAATTTCTTTGATGAAAATATTTAACACCCACAGTCATTTATTGCATTTCCATTTTGGTGCATATGTTTCACTACTGGTTTTTCTCTGTACTTATAGCATTTTTTTCCCATGACATCTAGCTGTTTTGTATATGGACCTAGGATTTTGTTGGCCAGCATTTGAAACTTTAATTATTCTAATTTTTTTTTGTTTTCCAGTTACAAAGCAGGGAAGTAGTTTTGTTATAGTTCCCTCTTACCTTGTAAATTGGCTGTTAAATAACTAATTTTTTTTTATTTAGAATTCACATTAGTGATTCAGGAAAATATTTACAGTAAGCTTTAGACAACATATCAAAAAGCCTTTCCACTTAATTGAAAAGTAATTTCTTTTTTTTTCATGATGGAGTCTTGTTCTGTATTTTTAGTGGAGATGAATTAGCTCAATTACTTATTTTTTTACCCACCACATTTTGGCTTTATTGTTAACTGTTTACAATATTGATATATTCAGTTTTAATTATGTGAACTCATTTGAATGTCTTTAATTTTTCATTTCATACTAGGAATCAACTAGCAGCTAAGAAATTTCTGATCAAGGCATGAAACAGCATTAAACAGTGAAGTTGTTTGTTCAAATTATAATCATGATTATTTTTACATATTCTTTTCTAAACAACGAGGTAAAAATTCAGTGCATTTTAAGATGACATAAATATATTAAAACAGGGTCTGTGGTTTCTAAGTTTTGCTAACCATCCTTAGCAGTTATTGTCAGTATTTCTAAGACAAGCATGACTATAAGTGGGGTTAGAGCCCCACATCAAGGAGTTGAACTGTGCCCATGTGGCTAATGGTATTCTAGGATCAAATATAAAGGGATAAGAAAGGTTTATCCTACTACTTTTAATTTTCGTGCTTAGTTCTTTATATTTGGGCAGATCAGCCCAAGAGCTTGCTGTAATTATCTCAGTTAAATTCAAAATAAATTTTTACACTTTTTGGCAGACCCAACATCTAGAAATAGGGAAAAGGGGATAATTTTTTTTAAGGAAGTCTAAGACATTTAGTTTATTCCCTAATGGAAACACAACTGGTTTTTGTGTTTTCTTTTAAAAGAAAAATTGTGTTTCCATCCTCAAAAACTTTACTAAGCCATGCTGTCTTATTATCAAGCCCAAATTTAAAATTGCCTTTTTATCTCATTGTGTCTAAATCTAGCCTTAAAAGGAAGATATCTTCAAAATGCGTACTTGCCAAGAGTAAAAAAGGTTCATGCTAACTGTATAGTTTTATATTGTGCATTTATAGGTATATCGAGAAGTGCTTATTAAAGCTCTTCTCTTTGATAGTGTCAGTTGATTTTCACTAATGTTTGTTTTTTAACTACATATTGCAGAAATACTAAGAATATTCACATGTTTTAAGGGCTTTTTGATTTAATTATTTTTATTTTTTAAGAAAGAGAAGATTCTGGTGAAGTTTTTTCTAAAATAGTCTTATCAGTAGCTTGAATGCATAATAGATTTTTAAATGTTTGGTTATTTGAGTTTAAAGTCCTAGATTTAAAAACAAAAAAAACTTCACCCTGGAGAAAGGCTTTATGGAAAAAAAAAAAAAAAAAAACTAAAGTCTTTTGTGAAAATAAGGACATTTTGCAATGTTTGCTTATAACTTGTGTGTACATGTACATATGTGTGTGAGATAGAATCGAAAACCATTTGTGAATATATATTTATGTTTTTAACATCTGTATACTGGACTGTTAAGCAGTTGGCAATGGCTGGGTCATTCAAAAATCAAGAAGTCTGCAGTTTACTATCTTATGGGGACCCTCTTTGTTTTCCCACACCTTACCAAAATCTTCTTTGTTTTCTAACTGACGTTGTACATATTATTCTGGACTTACTAATAGGACTATGTAAACGTCACCTTTTTATGAGATGTGTCAGGTATCCCAAGGCCACCCCTCTCCCCGGTTCAGTGATTCACTTGGAGGACTCACAGAACTCAGCATAGCCTTACTTGTGGCTATGATTTATTACAGTGAAGGGATACAAAGCAAAATCACAGAGGGAAAAGGCACATATGGGGTAAAGTCCAGAGGAAACCAGACTTTCCAAACTCCCAGATTTTCCCAGTGGAGTCACACAAGGTACACATACTTCTAGCAGCAGATTTTGAGAGTACATATGAAATGTCCACTGGCAAAGTTCATTAGATACCCTATGTCCAAGGTTTTTGTTGGGAGTTGGTCATGTAGGTACCCTCTGCTTAGAATGTCCTAAATCCCAAACTCCCAGAAGGAAAGCAGAAGTTCAGCCTAAGCTGTATTTTTTGCACACACAGTTTAGGCACAGTGACCACTTTTATCAGTTAAGTTGGTGGAAACATTCCCAAAAATCTAAGTTAATAGATGCCAGCCGGTGGCCAACCTTGCAAGCAGGATGTTTTAAATATAACAGTATCAGGCCTGCTATGTTAACTCTTTTCTAGGGGGAAAAAAAAAGATAATTTTAACTTTCATTTAGCAGTATTTATTTATTTAAGTCTGTCATTCCAGTAATTAACATAAATCATTTATGAAAAGTGAAACTTTCTTACCTTGAGAGATGTTTAATGCCCTGTCCTGTTTGTTGGTAGTATCCAGTGGGTATAAGCCAATGTGTCCTCCAGCAATAAAATCATTTTTTCTATCCAAATACTACTGTCTGGATATTTTGATAATAACACTGTAAGAGTTTAGAAGCCTTATTTTTTCATAGTTTACTCACCAATTTTTATTGCTTTCATGAGACTTTAATAGCTTTCTGAGAATAACGTGATAGTAAAGTTATTGATGTTTCAACCTGCAAGTGAGTTACAATTTGTAAATAAAATATTTGTAGTCCATATGTATAACTTCAGTACTACTTGAACTGTAATATTAGTATTTTAATGTCATTTATTAACATTATATTTTGGAGACTGGAAAATGATTGAAACTACATTGGGAACCCAGATTCCTAGAGCTGGAAGAGTAAGCCTGAGCCCTTAATAAGCCATCAACTCCGCCCTAGTCCTTGGCTGGGTATGGAACTAAACCAGCTAAGACAGGTGATGCAAAATAAAACTCCGGAAGAGGCGCTCCACGCAGTTTTTAGGATCCTAAGTTTAGAGTATAATTATACTAACTATCTAAAAGCTGTCTTCTTTACCAAGATCACCTATTTTATTGGTCTTTACACAGTAAGCTGTTTAGGGAACAGTTTTAAAATATTCGATTAAAACAAATGCTAAATCATCCTTTAGCTGTTTTCTTTGCCAGATCGAGCCATCCTACTTTATTCAACCTTTCTCAGTGAAGTTACAGGATAATAATATGGTGTTTCGAAAAAAACAGAAGAAATGCCAGCGTAGTCTTAAATAGATATTCTTACCCTGGGGGTCTGTGGATTTGGACGGAAAGAAAAAATTATACTTTATTTTCCCTTACCTGTCTCAGAAATTGAGTATTTTCCTCCATTACTATATCACAAATTAATTTTCGGCTATTTGGTTATTTCAAAGTAATTCTTTTCTTCGTAACCCTGTGTATTTTATTTTATGAATTTAGAAACATTTTGAGAAGGGGTCAGTAGGCTTCACCAAGGGCCCATGGCAAAATAGAAAAGTTACTCTCTGTAATGTACCCAACTTGGAAAATTTTCAATGAGAATTCTCAGAATGTGCTTTTTTGCTTTCTTTCTGTGTTAGAGATAATAGTGACTGGTTATATACTTCATTTAATGTACTATTGTACCTTTAGGTTTATGTACAAGTTAATAAAGAAGCAGCAGATGATAAAAGTGTAGCAAAATCAGCACAGGAGTTCTTCCAACGATTGGAACTGGGCGATGTGCAAGCACTTTCACTGTGGCAAAAATTTCGGGACTTAAGCATTGAAGAGTACGTTCGGGTTTACAAGGTACTGGTTGACCCTCCCTTCTGCTTTCCCATGATGCGGTGCAGCTCTTGGCTGTAACCTGCATAGTAAAGTTGCTTGTGTTTTAATAATAGATCTGTAGATGAATTTAAAATTAGGACTCAAATTTTGTTTTTTGGGCTGAAAGAACTGCAAAATAATCCTAAACCAGTATCAGGTGATATTCTCATACTTCATTTTTATCTGGCTTTTCTGTTCTAGCATTCCTTCACTTTTTCGTATTTATTTTTTGTTCTTTCATTTCCTTAAACCAGTATATGATAGTTAATAAATTCATTTAATAAACATTTGGTGGGTAGGGGATAATACAACAGCAAACAGAAGAGGAAAACCCTTGTTCTCGTGGACCTTACATTCTAGCCTAAAGACAGAGCACAAACTAAACAAATTAAAGATATAACAAGAAACAACTATTTTTTTATTAGATGGTGTTAGATGCTAGCTGGGGAGATCAGGTATGGAGTCTTTAGGTGGAATGAGGAGAATTTTGTAAAGAAGCCCATGTGACTGGAGTAAGTAAGCAAGATGAATGACAGGAGAAGGTTGAAGAGCTAGTAGCATATGGGGCATAATTCTAGGATTTCTCTAGGGCTATCCATTGCTTTTTGTGGTGATGGGAATCTTCTGTATCTGTGGCCGTCTCCTTCAGTAGCCACCAACCACATGTTGGTGAAGTGTGAATAGTGTGACAGAACTAAATTCTCAATTTTGCTTAATTCCAGTTTAACAGTTTAGATTGTCACTTGGGCCTAGTGATTACTGTATTGCACAGCACAGTACCACTGTGAGGACTTGACTGGTATAGTGGAAACTATTAGGAGGTTTGAGGAGAGGAGTGATTTTTTTTTTTTAAACAAAAATAAAGAGACAGGTCCTCGCCATCTTGCCCAGGCTGGTCTTCAACTCCCGGGTGCAAGTGATCCTCCTGCCTCAGCCTCCTAAAGTGCTGGGATAATGGGCATGAGCCACCACACTCAGCCCTTGATTTAATTTTTATTGTGTTCATGTGTATGACAGGTGGTAGAGCATCCTTAATTTTGCCTTAGGGTAAGAATAGGAGATTCAATTAACATTTCTTTGTCTTTTTGTTTCTGAACTCTTTTAGCGTCTGGGAGTATATTTTGATGAATATTCAGGAGAATCATTTTATCGTGAAAAATCTCAAGAAGTCTTAAAGTTGCTGGAGAGTAAAGGACTCCTACTGAAAACAATGTATGATCAGGTTCCTGTTCTTTAGTAAAATTATTTGTTCTTTGAAATTGTTATTGATGTATCCTTTGAGTAAGGACAACAGAATGCAGTGTGCAGCTTTCTTGGGATTTTTTATAGTGCTTTTTCCTGTTCAGAGTACTTTCCCACATTCTGTATTTTGCTGCCATAGCAAAAGCTGTTAAGGTTTGGAGAAACGATGTTACTTGTTTTTTTATAAAGATGGGAACTGAAGCACAGAAAATACAAGTGCCCTTCCTAAGGTCATATAACCTAATAATGGTATAACTGAAAAAAGGAAATAAATCTTACTATCTTCTGACTCAGTTTTACCTTTTAAAAGAAATCCCTGCCTTTTCAAAAAATATTTAAGGCAGCATGTGAAAATAAGTATACTATAACAGGCTTATAAATGAGGAAAATGATGAAAACAGGAAGTAGAGGCAAGAAAAGTAATATGAAGTCAGAGATGATGTTAGCATATCCCTCCTGGAATTCTATTTCCTTGCTTATGATAGGTTTTTTTCTTTAAAAAAAAGTTGTGATTGATGAATGACACATTGTATATATTTATAGTGCACAACATGATTTGATATTTATATGCATACTGTGAAATGTTTAAATCAAGCTAATTAACATATCCATCACCTTTACATACTTACCTATGATGAGAACATTTAAAATCTCTGTTAGCAGTTTTCCAGTGTACTATGCATTATTGTTAATTATACTCACAATGCTGTACAATAGATCTCCCGAACTTACTCCTGTTTAACTTTGTAGCCTTTAACCAACATCTCCCCATTCCCTGCCCTTGGTAACCTCCATTCTACTTCTCTGCTTCTATGATTGGAATTTTTTAGATTCCACATATGAGACTATACAGTATTTGTTTTCTGTGCATCGTTTATTTCACTGAGCATAATGTCCTTTCAGTTTATCCATGTTATCACAAATGACAGGATTTCCTTTTTTTTAAGGCTGCATATTACCTGTTGTATATTTTAAAGTCCACTCATCTGTTAAGGTTAATTCACATCTTGGCTATTGTGAATAATGTTACAATAACTATGGTAGGGCAGATTTCACTTGGACATACTGATTTCATTTTCTTTGGATGTACACCCAGATGTGAGTTTGCTGGATCATATATATGGAGGTTCTGTTTTCAGTTTTTTGAGGAACCTCCACATTGTTTTCCATAATGACTATACTAACATTCCCACCACTAGTATACAAGGGTTCCCTTTTATCCACATCATTACCAACGTTTATCTTTTTTTTTATTTTTTTATTTTTTATTTTTTTGATAAAAACCATCTTAACAAATGTGAAGAAATATCTTATTGTGGATTGTGGTTTTAATTTTGCGTTTCCCTGATGATTAGTGATGTTCAGCACCTTTTCATATACTTGTTAGCCTTTTGTTTGCCTTCTTTTGAGAAATGTCTATACGAGTCTTTGGCCCACGTTTTTGTTTTTCTTTTTTTTTTTTTTTTTTTAAGTTCCCGGGCATGTGTACAGGATGTGCAGATTTGTTACATAGGTAAATGTGTGCCATGGTGATTTGCTATTTGCTGCACCTATCAACCCATCACCTATTAAGCCCAGCATCCATTAGCTATTTTTCCTGATGCTCTCCCACCCCCCATCCCGCAACAGGCCCCAGTGTGTGTTCTTTCCTTCCTTATGTCTCTGTGTTCACGTTGTTCAACTCCCACTTATAAGTGAGAACATACTGTATTTGGTTTTCTGTTCCTGCATTAGTTTGCTGAGGATAATGGCTTCTTTGGCACACTTTTTAATTGGGTTTTTTTTGGTGGTGGTGTTGGTTTGGTTTAGTTTTTTGTTTTTGTTTTTCCATTGAGTTGAGTTCCTTATATATTTTCATATTAACCTCTTATCAGATACATGTTTTCCACATATTTTCTTTCATGCTCTAGGTTGTCTCTTCACTTTGTTGATTGTTTTCTTTGCTGTGCAGAAGCTTTTTTAGTTTTATGCAATCCCATCTGTGTATTTTTGCTTTTGTTGCCTATGTTTGAGGACTACCTCCAAGAAATTTTGGTGCCAAGACTTCAGTATTTTCCTCTAATAGTTCTACAGCTCAGGTCTTAGATTTGTCTTTAATCCACTTTGAGTTGAGTTTTGTACATGGTGAGAGATAAGGATCTAGTTTCATTCTTCTGCATATGGATATCCAGTTTTCCCAATGTCATTTATTGAAGAGACTGTCCTTTTCTTTTTATTTTTTTGAGACGGGGTCTCGCTCTGTTGCCAAACTGGAGTGCAGTGGCGTGATCTTGGCTCAGTGCAACCTCTGCCTCCCGGTTTTAAGCGATTCTCCTGCCTCAGTCTCCCAAGTAGCTGGGATTACAAGCACACGCCACCACACCCAGCTAATTTTTGTATTCCCCCAAAGTGCTAGGATTACAGGCGTGAGCCGCCACACCTGGCCAAGACTGTCCCTTTCTTACTGTGTTATTTTGGCACCTTTGTCAAAAATCAGTTGACCTGGCTGGGCACGGTGGGTCACGCCTGTAATCCCAGCAATTTGGGAGGCCGAGATGGGCAGATCACCTGAGGTCGGGAGTTCGATACCAGCCTGACCAACGTGAAGAAACCCCATCTCTACTAAAAATACAAAAATTAGCTGGGTGTGGTGGCACATGCCTATAATCCCAGCTACTTGGGAGGCTCAGGCAGGAGAATCATTTGAACCCAGGAGGCAGAGGTTGTGGTGAGCCGAGATCAAGCCATTGTACTCCAGCCTGGGCAATAAGAGCGAAATTCCATCTCAAAAAAAGAAAAAAAAAAAAATCAGTTGACCATAAATATGTGAATTTGTATCTAGGCTCTCTATTCTATTCCATTGGTCTCTATGTTTTTGTCTGGTATGATGCTGTTTTGATTACTATAGTTTGTAGTAGATGTTGAGATTAGGTAGTGCGATGCCTCCAGCTTTGTTGTTGTTGTTGTTGTTGGAGACAGGGTCTGGCTTTGTCATCCTGGCTGTGGTACATTGGTGCTTTCTTGGCTCACTACAACCTCCACCTCCAGGTTCAAGCTATTCTCCTGCCTTAGCCTCCCAAATAGTTGGGATTACAGGCATGTGCCACCACACTCAGCTGAGTGATTTTTGTATTTGTTAGTAGAGATGGAGTTTCACCATGTTGCCCAGGCTGATCTTGAACTCTTGGCCTCAAGTGATCCACCTGCCTTGGCCTTCCAAAGTGCTGGGATTATAGACGTGAGCCACCACAGCTGGCCCAGCTTTATTCTTTTTGCTCAATATTGCTTTGGGTATTTGGGGGTTTTTTGTGGTTCCATATAAATTTTATGATTGATTTTTCTATTTCTGTGAAAAATGCCATTGGAATTTTGGTAGGGATTGCATTGAATCTGTAGATTGCTTTTGGTGGTATGGACATTTTTAAAATATTGATTTTTCCAATCCAGTAATACAGGATATCTTTCCATTTATCTGTGTTTTGATTTCTTTCATCAGTGTTACATAGTTTTCAGTGTACAGATATTTTACCTCCTTGGTTAAATTTATTCCTATTTTGGTTTCGTTGACGTTATTATAAATGGAATTTTTTTTTTTAATTTCTTTTTCAGATAGGTTGTTGTTGTGTATAGAAATGCTACTGATTTTTGGCCGGGCGCGGTGGCTCACGCCTGTAATCCCAGCACTTTGGGAAGCCGAGGTATGTGGATCACATGAGGTCGGGAGTTCGAGACCAGCCCGGCCAACATAGTGAAAACCGGTCTCTACTAAAAACACAAAAATTAGCGGCTCGTGGTGGCGCATGCCTAATTCCAGCTACTTGGGAGGCTGAGGCAGGAGAATTGCTTGAACCTAGGAGGCAGAGGTTGCAATGAGCCAAGATCACAACACTGCACTCCAGTCTCGGCAACAAAGAGAGACTCCATCTCAAAAAAAAAAAAAAAAAGAAAAAAGGCTACTGATTTTTGTATGTTGATTTTCTATACTGCAACTTTACAAAATTCATTTATTAATTCTAACAGTTTTTTGGTGGAATCTTCAGGGTTTTCTACTTATAAGATCATATTCAGAGTTTTCTATTTATAAGATCATATTGAAAAAAAAATCATATTACCTGCAGAGACAATTTAACTTCTTTTCCAATTTGGATACGTTTTATTTTTGTTTCTTGCCTAATTGTTTTCTAATTTAGCTTTTAGCTCCCTGTCAGCTAAACAGAGAAATACCAGTGAAAGAAGCCCAGACGTCTATAATGTAGAGGCAAACCAATTGCTTAAGAGACATGTCACTTTTCATAGTACCAAAGCAAAATTTCTCCTGTCATATTTATAAGGAAGATGTGAAACGTAGTTAATAGCATCCTCAGTAATGTCCCTAAGGAAAATTTTTAGATTATCATATGCAGATGCCAAAGTTTGGTCATACAGGAAAGACAAAAATCTGTAGTTTTAATACTTGGGTACTTTGTGGCATGTTAAAAATTAGCCCAATATTGAATGTTGTTATACCGTGAATTAGAAGGAAAATGTGTGACATTTCATAGTTACGATGCAGCTGCATCTCATTTTTCAACTGGGTATATTAAAGATTTTATTTCTGAGTACCTTATCCGGAACTACAGATTTAAAAGCTAAGATAACCAAACATTAATTACATCATACCCATTCGTAAGAGATTCTTGGTCATATTCTTGTTTTTTACCATTATTGGTTAAAACTTGAATTGGCATTGCTTATTGCAACTTGGGTAATAAAAATAGCTTCTGGTTTGCTGAAGATAATGTTTTAGATATTACAATTTTAAAGGTCTGAATTTATTATGTTGCTTTAAAGTTACCTTTTTGCATTTCTAGAAAAGGAACGGCTGTTGTAGATCTCTCTGGGAATGGCGACTCCTCCTCAATTTGTACTGTAATGCGAAGTGATGGTACTTCTCTCTATGCAACCAGGTTTGTAGCCTCTGTGAAGGTAAACATTTGGTTCTAAATCTGTTGCTTTCACATGAAAAACTATTTACAATTAATTATGCATTATCGAACTCCACAGCTGACGACATTATTCTATAAGCTGTAAAACTGAAGTACTTCATAATCAACTAAAAGTATTTTACAGTGGCATGTTGGCAGGAAATGTATACTAAAAGATGACCATATTAGCTCAGGGGTTTCCTCATGCTGTAAAGAACATCTTACATGCACATAAATACCAGACCTCGCTGGGATTTGGTAAAGCAGGCTGAGGGAGAAGGCCCATGTCACATTTTTTTTCCATCCGTCTTCGTGACTGACCTTTGTGGAAGGGCCAATCTCTGTTCATCAGTAAGAAGTGGGTTTATCAAGCACTCTTATTTCTGGGACAAAGCTAATAGGAAAGAGAAGCACTGGTGGCAAAAGTGTCTCCCAGGCCAGAATTTTATATTAGGTCACAAATCACTTTTGTAACATAAAGTCATGATATTTTGTTGTTGTTATATTAACTACCGTAATTTGTTCCAAACAAATTATGTACCTTAACACCTGTACTTTAAGCAACCAATCAAGTCTCTTAATTTCCCCTTAGGAAATTCATCTCTTACCTTCTATTACTTTTCGACATTTCCCTTTACCAATTCTATGCAATTGGGATTAGGAAATGAGAAGAGCTTATATATCTAAGAGGTACATTGTTTTTCTAGATAAGCAAATATGTATATTAGAAAAGTTTTTTGTATCAACTAATTATTGCTAGACAGATTAAATAAATAAACCCTTGCACAGTAGTTGTAAGAAGTATCCATTGAGAACAGAGGCTCTGTAAGTATTCGGGTCTGGTTAGTGTCTTTTGGGCTATCATTAGGTCTCAATTTTTCCAACACCTATATTTTTCTTTGGAAAAAGAAACATCCCGTCAGAAAAGGGGCCCTATGACATGAGATCTCTATAACTATCCTGATTTGGTGTTTTTTCAGGCTGTCATTAGATGTAGACTTTTCTGTGTATTTACCTTAACACCTGTACTTTCTTTTTTTCTTTGAAAATAATTGTCTTTTTGCCACTTATTGAAATGTTAGATTTTTCACTTTGCTTTATTGTCAGTTGCTTCTGCCTTCTAGTGGGTTTCTTATAGAATACCTTTGTGTGGGGATTGTAAATCAAAGTTGTTATAGCAGACAAAAGTGCAGGAGAATACTGAAAAGCGCAGAGTGTGAGGCTGGAGACCTGGGACTGTCGTTTAATTCTCTGGGCCATGATTCTGTACTTTGTGAAAGGAGAGATCTGGATTAAATGACCTGGCACTTCTTTTGGCTTTGAAATTCAGTTTCTACAAATTCAACCTAGAAATTGTTCTTATTCTTTTGTGTTTTTTCATTGGATCAAAAAGTTTCCCTTTGTTTTGTCCTTGTCTCAAACCAAAAAAATGTAACACAAGTGTCTATTTGTGACATCATTTTTGTGATAATCTGCTATACAAGTTTCTCGACATTTTTAAAATTATAATCCCTCCAAGCAACCTTTTCAGCCATATTTTTCCTAATTGCCAATTCTCATGAAATTTTATCCCACACATTTTCTGTATCTCTATATATTGTATGCATATCTATGGTTTATGCATGAAGAATAAGATTTTTTGTTGGCCAACTGTAGTGGCTCACGCCTGTAATCTTAGAACTTTGGGAAGCCAAAGCAGGAGGATCACTTGAGGCCAGAAGTTTGAAACCAGCCTAGGCAATATAATGAGACCCATCTCTACAAAAAATATGCAGTGGCTCTTGCCTGTATTCTCAGCACTTTGGGAGGATGAGGAGGGTGGATCATCTAAGGTCAGGAGTTCAAAACCAGCCTGGCCAACATGATGAGACCCTGTCTCTACTAAAAACACAAAAATTAGCCAGTTTTTGCCTCCATTGAGAATGCATGCTCTTTGCAATGTCAGGATCATGAGATAGGTACTAATGACATTTTAATGATCCCTAACATTTCAAAAGATCGAGGAATGTTTTCAGTCTTTCCAGTATCATATGCTGTTAATCAAAAATAGCTCTAATTTTAAACTTTAATATTTCATAATCCTTGACTTGAAATTTTGGTTTATTTTTCATTATTTCATATGCCAACTAGATGCTTGTATCTAATCAGAGATAAAAGAGAAATTCTGTCAAAGGACTTTAAGGGCTTTTTTTTTTTTTTTTTTTTGAGACAGAGTCTTGCTCTGTCGCTCAGGTTGGAGTGCAGTGGCACGATCTCGGCTCATTGTAGACTCCACCTCCCACCTCCTAGGTTCAAGCGATTCTCCTGCCTCAGCCTCCTGAATAGCTGGGATTACAGGTGTGCGCCACCCCGCCCAGCTAATTTTTGTATTTTTCGTAGAGACAGGGTTTTACCTGTTGGTCAGGCTGGTCTCGAACTCCTGACCTCAAGTGATCCTCCCACCTTGGCCTCCCAAAGTGCTGGGATTACAGGCATGAGCCACCTCACCCGGCCGACTTTATGGTCTTTTAAATGCATTAGAAGGTATTCCCCTGACTGACCCAAGACTTTGAAAGTCCTTAGTAATACTAATAGGAGAGTATCTAGACAATACCTGTTTACTACATCATCTATATTTTAAATATGTTCGTTAAGAGAATATATTGCAGAGAAGTAACGGGTGATTCTTTTTAGTAGAGACTTAATCATGAAACATTTAGCTACAAGATGCTTCACCCAGAGCTATTTTAGTTGTTATTACTACATATTGTAGAACTTTTATATATTAATTTTATTTATTTATATTTATTTTAGGTTTTACTTTTGCCAGTGTTTTTATTGTTGTTTTCCCCAAACCTATTTTTATCATTTTATATCAAAATGTGGTGTTTGAATTGTCTTAAGTGTGGTTGGAATTCCTCAGGCTGTGGGATAATTTAAGTTCTTAATTAGAAAATGCTCATTGCTATTAAATAGGTAAAATCAATTATTACCCAGATCTGCTTAGTAACTCTTGGTTTATGGTCACTTTTTCAGAGATCTTGCAGCTGCTATAGATCGAATGGACAAGTATAATTTTGATACAATGATATATGTGGTAAGTAATCAGAACAAAAAGTTACGATCTCTAACTCATGAAAATTACAGAGGTAGAAATTGGATGCCATGTTGAAAACCTATGGAAAACTAATTATGTAAAACTACAGAGAGAAGTCAACATTAAGTATGTTTAAAGTGCGCAACTTCTATTTAAAAGTTTAAACACTTAAAAATGAAAAAGTTTACATTGCTTCATAGTAAGAAAAAATTACCTGAATCAGCAAAATAGTTATGTGAAATTAATATATACAGATCACCATAATGCAAAGTTTTTTTGTTTTTTAGTTTTCAATTCTGAATTGGGGTCAACGGTTGTTTTTAAATAACTTTATTTTGAAGTAATTTAATACTCACAAGAAGTTTCAAAATAGTACAGTGTTTCCCCCCAAAGATAGTATATAACCATAGTACTTTTATCAATATCAGGAAATTAACATTGATAGAGACCTTACTGAAATTTTGCCAGCTTTTACATGTACTCTCCTGTAGATGTTTGTGTGGGTATGGTTTTATGAGACTTTATCACATGTATAGATTCATGTAACCATCACCACATTCAGAATATAGAACTGTTCCATCACAAAACAAACTCCCTCGTGGTCAACCACTTAATAATCACACCTTCACCCAATCCTAACCCCTGGCAGCCAGTGCTCTGTTCTTCAGCACAATTTTGTCACTTTAAGAATGTTGTATAAATGGAATTATACAATATGTAACTTTTGAGATTGGCTTTTTTCACTCAATATAATGAATGCCCTGGAGAACTATCCAGGCTGTGCTGTGTGTCAGTAGTTCGTTCCTTTTATTGCTGAGTGGTATTCTAGTATCTTTTCCCCCTTTAATTACTTACCATGTGAAACCTTCCTTTTCACTTAGAAGAAAAGTTGCCATCAAATATTTATTTAGAGCTGAACTTTGGTCTCAGAGACTAGGGTCATAATAGCCAAGAGGGCAGAAATTTAAATGGAATACTCAGAAGGTTGAAGTTCACATTTCCTACTGACTCGGTGGAGTGCTACGGCTCTTATTCCCCTCCCTTGTAGAGCACTTCACTTAGACTCTTCTTGTGGCATCCTCTTTGTGTTTACTTAAAATGTATCGATTGACAATGACTTTAGTGTGTCAAACCTCAAATATCTTAATTTGATTCAAGTCCAACCTATTTTTGTACATTAATTTGTCACTGTTATTTTATATATGTTTTCTTCCCAAGACAGATAAAGGACAAAAAAAGCATTTTCAGCAAGTATTCCAAATGCTGAAGATCATGGGATATGACTGGGCAGAAAGGTAATGTCTGCATGGTTCTTAATTGTCTGTGCAGGGTCAGCTGAGCCTGAAAATGTACCTAGTGGTTAAAAGTTTTTCATTCAAATTTCAATTCTTTGTTTCAAGATATTAGTATGGAAAAGTAGATTTGATTTTTGTATTATGTCTTGGTTATAATAATTTCCACCTTACAAACATTTAATAACTGTATTTTTATTAGTTATCTGCTCTCCGTGGCTTAGTTTTCAAAATTCTTAATCCACATCTCCTTTTTCTCCTAAAGGCAACTAGTAGTTTAATCACATGCTATTGATTATAAAGTGAAGATGTGCTTAATGTCCTTTGTAGCACACAAATCACATCAATTTCATTTTATTAATTTTTAAAAACTCTGAGGGTTAAAGTTCAAACCACTCTCTGAAAGGTATTATATGCTTTCAGCAGCAGCTCTTGTTTAGCTTTCAGTTAACTAGATGCCCACTCTTTTAGGTGCCAGCATGTGCCCTTTGGAGTAGTGCAGGGAATGAAGACTCGAAGAGGAGATGTCACTTTCCTGGAAGATGTTTTAAATGAGATTCAATTAAGGATGCTACAGAACATGGCTTCAATTAAGAGTGAATTCAGTTTTTTCTTATTAAAGTCATAACTTACATGCCACTTTTATGTTATTCTGGACTTTGGGCAGTGTGATTTATTATGTCTGTCCCTCCATTGAATTGTCACTAACTTTGTCAAAAATAGCTTTCACTAATTAGAGGTGCCAGAATTTTTATACTTGCTACTCGGGAATTGGTCACTTCAATAATCTGAATTGCTATAACCTTGGTCCTCTTTTCATGAACAGCTTGAGCATTGTCATTCTGTTGTCTGGGTGGTCACTTGACGTTTCTATGTTATAATTTGGATTCAAATCACAAGTCCTTATGACTTTAACCTTCATCCTTGGAAAACTAAGTATCAGATATCCTACAAGTATCTTTTGAATAAATAAATTTGGATTTCTTTCCCTTTAATGTAGGCAGGGGAAATGTCATTATCAAAGGTAAAATAGCCTAAATTAGGAAAGTAAATTACTCATTCTAAATCTGTTCTTGATTGTCAGCATGCATTTTTGGCAGATATTACCTTCACTTGGATCCATGATTGGCACAGTGTCACGTAGAATAAAGATAGCTGCCTTTGTCTGTTTCAGCAACTAAAGAACTCAAGAACCCACAGGAGACTGCAGAGAGGGTCGGGCTCGCAGCACTCATTATTCAGGTCTGTTAAGACTCCTATCTGTGAGGCCCTTTTGTCTGGTACTAGAGCAAATCCCAGCAGTGAAGATTTCCTCTGTCGTTTTAGGACTTCAAAGGTTTACTCTTATCTGACTACAAGTTCAGCTGGGATCGTGTTTTCCAGAGTCGCGGGGACACAGGAGTCTTCCTACAGTACACACACGCCCGCCTCCACAGGTGAGAAGAGGCTGCAGGGAAACCTTGTACTGCACTGTGCTTCCCTAGGTTGGGTCCTGTGATTCTAAGACCAGGGGCCCTGTTTTCTCGGCTTTTCCAATATCTTCTATTCAGATCTGACTAGAGTAGGCCTTCTTTTAGGGAAAAAAAATTTTTTTATTGAGCATCTATGTTAGAAATATATTTATGTGTATTATCTTAGTCCTCAGAATAACCCTGTCGAAGAATATACTGTTATCTCCATTGTGTATGGATAAAGAAATAGATTTAGGAAAATTAAAGTATCAGATCAAACAGTGTTGGCATCAAAGTCTAGGGCTGTATTAAGGAGACCAAAATTGTGTATTAGAAGGTGATGTTCATCACTTGGAGCTCTGTGCCCTTGTATGACTTTTTAATCTTTTGATGTTTTTAACTTTAAACTTTTGATAACAGTTTGGAAGAGACTTTTGGATGTGGGTACCTGAATGACTTCAACACTGCTTGTTTACAAGAGCCACAGTCTGTTTCAATTCTTCAGCATCTTCTCAGGTACGATGTTTTCTAGGGATCATCAAGTGTGCTTCTGCTTATCAAAATGGCTATTAGCATTTTTGCTGCCCAGTCGAATTAACAGGCCAGTAGCTGCCTTCTGCCTCTAGACTTTTCCCAAAGGGATGCCTAAAAAGTGATTATTTGCATTTTGAGGGCAGAGGGCATAGATTAAGACAATGCTCAAGGAGGACAGTCTTTAGGTCTTCAGAATATTATCACTGATGAATAGCACACGTGTCTAGCCGCCTCGGGCTCACAGAAAGCCTTATAAAAGCATAACCTTTTAGTTTGAGAAAGCATCTTCTTGCCCTCTGTGATAAGTGAAGGAAAACACCTGCCTTTGTGCAGCTTCCCAGAGACCGTAAGTCCTTCATTTGCCTCTTGGTTTCAGTTCATAATCTCAAATACATGTATCTGATGCTCCCATGCTAGGCAAGACACCACACATTTTAGCTCTGACGGGCATTGTTGGTGAAGCCAAACATGCCAGAGCTTAATCTCTAGAAGGGATGTGGATGGTTATGAACAAGGCAGTTTTCTTTGATTGCTATGTAGTAGTCAGTGGTTCTTTCCTGGGATCAGAAAAATTTACTCACATGTACAATAGCTAATGTGAGGAAAAATAAGCCACCTGGGTTGTCTTAGCACTGAGGGTAGACTTTGGTCATTTATATTTTATATTCCTAAACATGGCTGGAGGCTTTTTACATTCACCAGCCATGATTAAAATTTTTGATGTGGACTAGGTCTAGGGAATAGCAAGATGATTTAGAAATCCCTGCCATCAAAGAATTTGTAAGACAGAAAATGTTCCTTTGCCTACAAATGTACACACAGTTTTTTCATATCCTTCTACTCTTTTTTTTTTTTTTTTTTTTTTGAGACAGAGTCTCGCTCTGTGGCCCAGGCTAGAGTACAGTGACTGAATTTCGGCTCACTGAAACCTCTGCTTCCCGGATTCAAGCGATTCTTCTGCCTCAGCCTGCCGGGTAGCTGGGACTACAGGCGCTGGCCAACACGCCTGGCTACTTTTTGTATTTTTAGTCAAGAACAGGGTTCACCATATTGGCCAGGCTGGTCTAAAACTCCTGACCTCGTGATCCACCCACCTCGGTCTCCCAAAGTGCTACGATTACAGATGTGAGACACTGCGCCTGGCCATACCTTCTACTCTTAATCATGTCAAGTCAGTCTTATATTCATGATCTTTTAATGTCTAATGTCTTAGTGTAACATGTACAGTCTTTTCCTGTTCACTGTTCCTGTCATCTTTTAGGTTCGACGAGGTGCTTTATAAGTCATCTCAGGATCTTCAACCCAGGCATATTGTCAGTTACCTTCTAACTTTAAGGTACTTTATAATCTTCCTGTTTTCAGATGTTTAATGGCATTTGAGACCTTTCTTTCATCTAAAGGTTTCCTATAAACAAATTCCTTGGTCTAAAATTTGATGTGCTTTTAGTTACAGGAATTATTGCTTCATCTATACAAACTAGCAGTTAATGTTCCTTCATTCATTCAGTGATACAAGGTACTGTCACCAAGACTGGAGAATGGGAACTGACAACTCCACAGTCACAGCACAGTGCATGTGTGTTATGTTAGAGTGAACATAAGAGACGGTGTTAGGGCAACCAGCCCAGCCTTGAGAGATCAGAGAGGGCTTCTCAGAGGAAAGGAGATACTAATCAGGAGAAGGAATGTGGCTGGGAAAAAGAAAAAAGCCCAGAGTTGAGCAAGAGCATAATAATACATTTTAAAGGATCCATAAGCATTGTTCTGGGAGGCTGATAAATGAAGCGTGTATAAACCTGTTTGCCATGTACTGAGGCATTTAAACTTATTTTCAGGACAGTGGGGTCCATACAGGAATTTTAGGCAGAGGCACAGAAAAATAAGCTAGAAAACTTAATTTTTCTAATATTTAATGACAATTTCATGGTGTCTATTTTAGAAACTTGAAATCGAAATTATTGAGTCCACCCTTGTATAGCAGCAGCTGTATCTTCCATAAAGCTATTTAATAAAAGAAATTTTGCTTTTACGCAATATTTATTGAAATCAGACACTTATCAGGACTGTTTTCTTGATTATACTTTTTACCTTCTCTAGATTTATGTAAGGATTTTTTTCTTCCTTTAAATGACACTTAAGACATACAGAGGTGAAGAAGTCTTTTTTTTTTTCTTTTCTTTTCTTTGAGACGGCATCTCACTCTGTTATCCAGGCTGGAGTGCGATCTTGGCTCACTGCAACCTCCACCTCCTGGATTCAAGCAATTCTCCTGCCTTAGCCTCTCTAGTAGCTGGGATTATAGGCGTGCACCCTCATGCCCAGCTAATGTACAAAATCTTACGAAATGTCATTTTATCATTAAAACTGACGTCTTAAGTATCATTTCTTTGACACGTTGTTATACTTGATGCCATACCTAAATTTAAAAAGATACTTTAAAGAAGAGTGGCCAGTGTGTGTGGAGAGTGGATAACTAGTTTCTACCCACCTCACTGTACAGAGGAAAAGGCCATGCTATGTTATACATTTGATTGTAGGTTGCCTAAATGAGGAAAAATGATTAGAAAAGAATCCTTTATATTTGTAAAATTAACAGTGAAATCATAATCTTAAGAATTGCCCACCTCTTAGTAGTAGAATAGGACCGAGATCTAAAGCTTGAGTTTTGAATTCCAGTTTCAACTTTACAGTTTTGAATACATCCTTTAATGGTTCTTTGCTTTATTTATTAAGTTGAAGGAGTAAGATTGGGTATCAAGCTCATATCTTACAACAGGAAATTACTGCTGGAACCGTCGTGATTTCTCTCTTCCTGTTTCAGTCATCTTGCAGCTGTGGCACACAGAACACTACAAATAAAAGATAGTCCTCCTGAAGTGGCTGGGGTATGTTATGCTGAATGTTTTCTGTATAATCCCTAGCTCCTCAGACTAATACTACTAAGTCAGTCTTGTAAATTTTTCTAAAATAGCATTCTGTTGTTCAACTGTAGCAGTGTACTTCCTCAGCTAATAATTAGGCTGTAACAATCAATGTTTATATACTTCCCAACATACTAGACTATGAAGCACATTTTCCTACATGAAATATTATAGTGATAAGTTTCCCTTATCTGAAGGCATACTGTATAATACTATCACTCCCACTCCATGACACTTTATGTACAGGTCTTACTATAAGGGATGCTAGGACTTTATCTTCTCTTGTCTGTAGTAACTCTAGGGCACTTTGGCATATTGTTCCTGCTTTAAATTAGAAAGAATTACCTTTAAAACCATTCTCATGTATTGAATACATTTCTGTTACTGAATATTTTAAATCATTCTTTATTTTGTAGGCCAGACTTCATCTTTTCAAAGCTGTCCGTTCTGTCCTAGCCAATGGAATGAAACTTCTTGGAATAACACCTGTATGTAGGATGTAATTTCCATTAAAATGGCTTTTAAAATGTCAAATGAACTCTAGTTATCTATTCTGAGATGCCTTACTGTTCAGAATAATTTTTTTTTTTTGAGATGGAGTTTCTCTCGTTGCCCAGGCTGGAGTGCGATGGTGTGATCTTGGCTTGCTGTAACCTCCACCTCCCGGGTTCAAGCGATTCTCCTGCCTCAGTCTCCTGAGTAGCTGGGATTACAGGCATATGCCATCACGCCTGGCTAATTTTTTGTATTTTTAGTAGAGACGGGGTTTCTCTATGTTGGTCAGGCTGGTCTTGAACTCCCGACCTCAGATGATCCGCCCGCCTTGGCCTCCCAAAGTGCTGGGATTACAGGCATGAGCCACCATCACCAGCCAAAGTTAAACTATTATTCTGTGTCAGAATCTGTATTAAGTGTGACTTGTCAAGTTATTCAGTCTTTATCCTTAAATAAATAAGTCATCTGAATTATCTTATGGTCAGTAGGTATTTAAATAGACATTGAGTTTTTTTAAACCCAAAGCTTTGTGGTCTAATGGGGCTAAAGGATTTGAGTTTAAACTTTGGCTTGAAATTTCTTACCATGTCATATTCTTCCAGAAACTATTCTTACATATGATTCTATAGTAGATTATACATGATTCAGAAACTATTCTGAAATGATTTAATGTTTTCATGAAATAAAAGAATTGGTGGGGGGGAAGTATCAATTTTCTTGTAATTGTGGCTAGTTTGGAATAAACATAGGGAAATCAAAAATAAGCATCTTTCTGTCAGTATAGCTGACAGCTACTCCTAGAGACAATAGACCTCATGCTTCCCTTTGAGTTAACATATACAGGTAACTCTTACTGTGTGAATTCAGGAACTAAATACATTTTAATAGCAAGGAATTACTTGTAAAGACATTGAATTAGGATCTTTTTGTAAAATGTAGTCCATTAATTCAACCATAATTTGAAATGGAGTTTCTTAAGTTTCCTTCATATATCTTCATATTGGTGACATACATTTTGTGTGGCTTCATTAGATAACATGAGCATGGCTTAGGCAACAAGAGTAGGATGTGGTGTGTTTGATCAGTATGGCCATCCTCATCAGCCAGCATTTCCATTCAGGTCTGCTATAATTTATTCTAAATGTTGCTAATAGTCTTTTGAACACCAGTGATAGTCTTTTTTTATGAATAAAGAAGCAAATTAGCACAAACTGAAGCTTCTCTAGAGTGAAAATTGTTTCAGATTAGCAATTATGACTTACCTTCTTAGTCCTAGAAAAGATTCAGCCTTGCAGTTCCAATTTAAGTGAAATAACTCCCAGATAGCTAATTTTCGACTGCCAAATTTTTCTTAGCATAAACCAGCCAAGGGATAAAAATGTAGAGACATGTTTTACACCTCCAATATAAACTTTCCCCTTCCAAGATCAGTAGTGTCTTCCTGAGTATTTGAATCTTGAGTGAAACCATACAGGAACAGTAATGGGTAGAGCCAAATCTTTACAAAAGCTAAAAAGATTTTTCATTAATTCTTAGAACCTAGACGCCTGTAGCCCTGTTTGTGGACCTTCTTAAAAATTCTTTTTTGCTTAAGGCTTGCCCAGAGTTGATTTGCAGCCAGAGAACCCTAAATGATACAATTCTACATATAGAAAATAAAAGTGCATTATTTTAATGGTCATATGTATAATATAAAAAAAGTGATTAAACAAACAGAATTCAGAATTCATATAAATAAAGTTTATTGCTGAATTTCCCCATTAACATTACAGAAAACACTGAAATTTCACAAATTATTGAGAGTCCAACAGTTAAACATACTTTATTTAAAAAAGTACAAAAGTGACATTAGAAATTTTTTGAAGAAAAGTGTATCATCTAACAGCAAAGAAATATGAACCAGATAATGAATGGCACAAATATAGCACTAAAGGGGTACTCAGTCACCACCGAGAAATCATCTGAGTTATGAAATAATAGATTCATTTTGAGAAGTTACACATTGTTTGTTTATGAACTAGTCTGTCTTGTTTCTGCCTCTTGTAAGTAAAGAACTAAGTCTTTACTGCTGCTAGGACAAAATACTGTACATGAATTGGAGAATAAGGAGGGGTCATCCTTCTCCCCTGGTACCTGAACATGAGAACAGTTAGTACAGAAATGGCTTTGGCACTTTAACCCTTAGACATTGTCCCAAATCTTGTTACTTGAGTATTGTAGCCTCACCATGATTTTTTTTTTAACACCGTATCATCTCCATACTTCTTATGTACAAATTATATATATATACACAATAATAAAATTCCTTCATTCTAAAACAATAGTTTGACCCCAAACAGGTCCACATTAAGTTTCTGTATTAGCAGTTCACTCAGATAGCTTTGTTCGTTGTTTCCACATACAGCACTGATCTTAATTCTTATGCCATATAGTTAATTTTTTATTTGTTTATGCTACCTTCTGGGATTGACTTAAGGCTCTAGTTTAATGCAAATGGTTTAGTCTTAACAGGAGTCTCACGTGAGGCTAAAATCACACACCAATAACTCTCTCCTTTGAAGCTGTTTCTCCTTGTTGGATGGATGTAGTGTCTTGTCTGGGTAATCCATAGAGATATATGGAAACACATACAAGAAGAGTACCCAGGGCAAAGGTGAGTGCTGAAAAGAAAAAACAAAACAAAACAGCTTTATCTGTATGTGTGTCTTTAAAACTGCCTAATGATCAGTTTAAAATTTTGAAAACTCTTAATTGTGGGTTTACGCTATCAGATCATATTTATATGATGGCAAGGTTTAGAAAGGTCTTCTATTACAGCAAAAAAAAAAAAAAAAAAAAAAAGGGGGGAGGCAGGGCCGGTAAAATCAAGGCAGTGTTGATCACTGATTAGACTTTTTAGAACATGAGTATGCCTGACACCACTCTGACAAAGAACATACTAATTTCCCTATAAAATATATAATTTTTTTAAAATGTAAGTATAAATATATATATAA